AAAGTACATACAATTTATACATAAATCAATATCTATATTTCCAATATCTCCTCATCAATATCATACTAATTTTGTTGAACCAGTTCTTTAAGTCTAAATAAATAAATTCTTACATAAACTCTGCTTTCAGAAAAAGCTCATGCCTGTTTATAAGATATCAACTTTTACTCATTTTAGCCTGATAGATCTCAGAAGATCAAGGTATAGTAAACCATTATGTATTACTTCTGGATAAGAGAAGGAGGGGAAGAAGGAATGAGCAACAGAAAAGTATTTCAAAACTAAATGAAAGGGGCACATTCCATCATCATCACCTCCACCAGTGTTATCCTGTCTTTTTCCCAATAATGAGACTCAAGGCAGCTTATATCATTAAGAACAATATAAATTTAAAAACTACACACAAACATGAATAAAAATATAAATATAGCCTGATAGCATAAGCATGTTTTAACTGGCCCATAGAAGGAGACCAAGTGTAGTGTAATACTGGTTCTCAAAATCTGGAAGAAATATCAACACAAGACCCTCTCCCTTGTTCTCACTAAATGGGTTTGTGAGGTCTTTAGGACAGGTAAAAAGGTTCTTAAAGTTCACAAGCATGTGTGTCTAACATCTGTATATGTTCATGTTTTTGTAAGAGCAGCTGGAAATGTGAGTGGCTAGCCCTCTTGGAAGAGAAGGTCCAGCAACTTCCTTGACAGATAGAAGACAGACAGCAGTTTTTGAGAGACCAAAGTTGTAGGAAAGTAGCATTGCTTCCTTTGATATGCTTTGTTTCATCACATCATCACCCCACTAGATTTTTCCAGAGCTTTGAAGTAGATCTAAGGGATAGGCAGAGTATGGTCATGAGGCTGCATGCATCTCCCCCAGGTGCTTGTTCCCTCCAGGCTCTCTTGTTTGCTCTTTTTCTGGCAGACAAAATGTGTGTGAGAGTGAGTTGCCTCTTTTCCAGGGATTGCAACCTTCCACAAAATAATTTCTCCCCAGACTAAGATTTATGCAGTCCTTAGAGAGTACCAAGGACATAAATTTAATCCTCAGGCCTATTTGAGGTTTGTATTGTTGTGATGTACAGTCAAGTTGGCTTCAGATTATGGAAACAATTAATGGGAGACCTCCAAGAGCCCTGGTTATTACAGTTTTTTTGGGCCCTGCAAGCTCAGAGGCAGGTTTTGCTGTTGCTATTTTTTTTCACACAGATCTTTATCACTTGGGTTCTGCACCACATTTAAGTAAAGAATGCTTGAATCTTGAATTGGGGGGAAGGTACAACTAACTTGAGCCTGCATAAAGACAATACTGGTATGGTGAGTCATGCCCTAAAAAATAATCAGTAACACAGTAATTAAAGACATGGCAAGGTGTAGACCACAAAGTAAGGGCTGTGGGTAACAGGCTCATTCTGTTCATTTAGAGCAAGATCCTGTCAGGAGAACAAGAAGTAGACATCCCACACCTTGTTTTTTTATTTTAATAAATGGTTTTTATTAGTTTTCTTATATACAATATAGTTAAAAGAAAAATAGATATAGTTGGAATTGGGAATAGTCAAGGGAATCAATATGTGGGGGGTCTAAGTGAGTCAAAATACAAAAATATTTTTTTAAAAACTGCCAGCAAGAATACTAGGGAGCTTGGGTAGGTCATTGAAAAGTAAGGGCCCACCCAGACAGCCCCTTTATTGCTGAAACTTCCACAATAAAAAGGGGGCTGTCCAGATTGCATTCTGGCCAACCCACAATTAATTCACCACAAACCAGGAAAACCCTAAGTAGATTGTAGATTTATTCTGTGCCTTCTTGGAAAGTGTTGGATAAAACCACTACTTCCGATGTATGGACTGCAGTCGAGACACCATTCCCACAGTTTTCTGGACTAAGTTAGTCTGGAAAACTGTGGGAATCCCACCCCCTCCTTCAAAAGCATCCAACCCCCTTTTAAAAGTAACTTATCCAGCCTCCATTACAATCTTGCCTCCCAGCGTGTAGAAATGATGTGCCAAGGGGGGGGGGGCAGGCGATGTAATGGAGACCGGGTAAGTTTTCCTTAATTTTAAAAGGGGTTTTAGGGCTTTTGAGGTGGAGGTCATGGTGTCTTGGTGTTGTATTGAGAAGTCCCAGTACAACATCTAGACACCTATCCTAGAAAGCACATGCTTTCTGGGGTGTGTGTGAACAGGTCCCCAAGAACACTTCCCCCCAAAACACAAAAAACCCTTCCAATCATCTTCACCATGGTATTTTTTTAATTTATAGACATAGTTCTTTATTTTATTTCGCCATTCCCTTCTTCATTTCTTTCCTGGGGACAATTTCTCTTGTTTTCTTCAGTTTAGTTCTATTATCAGTTTTATTTTTCCTTTTCTCTTATCTCTTACTAAAGTCCAGTCTGTTGTTTTTCTGTGCCCTTCTGTGTGTTTGTTCAGTAATTGTGTTAAATTGTCCATAGACATTATGTTCAATAGTTTAGACACCCATTGTTCTTTGAAAGGAATTTCTTTTGTTCTCCAATGCTGAATATAATTTATTCTAGCTGCTGTCAGCAAATAATTCAGTAGTCTGTCTTTGTTTTCCCCCCCAATTCTATATCAATAATTCCCAGTAAATAATGTTCTGGTCTTAACTGTAATTTCATATCTAGCGTATTTTGTATTTTACTTGAATTTCTTTCCAATATTTTTCTGGCTATTTTGCATGTCCACCACATGTGGAAGAAAATTCCTTCATGTTCATCGCATTTCCAACATTTATTTTAAATATTTGGATAACATTTTGCCAATTTCTGTGGGATAATATACAATTAATAAATCATTTTGTACCAGTTTTCTTTGAGATCATACAAATAGGTAAATTTGATTTTTTTATTCCATATCTTTCCCCGATCTTCTATTTTTGTTGCATATCCAATGTTAGCAGCCCATTTAATCATACAGTCTTTTACAAATACTTTTTTCATTGACCATTCTAAGAGGGTTTTTTTAAAAAAAATTCTTGCAATTGATTTATTTTCTGTTGTCATTATCATGTCCCAAAAGATATCTTTTTCTAAGAAACCGATTTTCTCATCTTTATTGAAATATTCTAAACATATGTCTGTAATGAAACCAGGATAATTTTTTGTCAATCTATTTTATTTCTTCTTGCTATTTTAAAATAGCATTATCATTCTGTTTCTTCAATAAGTTGCTGTAGATTAACCATTTGTCTTGGTCCATTTCTCTTCTTTGTCAAAGAAGAGAAATTGATCCCCACATTGTTAATGTTAATGTTAATGTTAATGTTAATGTTAATGTTAATGTTGTGGGCAGTCAAATTCCAAATGAAGCACTATAATTTCAAAAAAATGAATGAAAGAAAGAAAGAAAGAAAGAAAGAAAGAAAGAAAGAAAGAAAGAAAGAAATTGTTTCTTTGGCTCAGAAGGATGCTGAAGAAAAGTTTGCTCCCATACTATTATTTGTCGAAATCACATCAGTTTCTGATGCCTGCAAAACCTTTCCCCCAGTGATGCAGTCTGAATATTTTGATGGAAAAACCAAAGCAGAGAAGAATTATAATGACCATTTTGGTTGGAGATGTTGTTGCTAACAAGTGACTGGCCTGTGGTATTATTATTCGTGGCCGGAAATGTGAGGCAGATTGCTCAGTATAAAGTATTACAAATTATATATTAACTGAGAAAAGTAAATAGATAGCAGAAAACAGCGGTTGAATAAGTTTGACATATAAGCAAAATTAGAGTGCCTTAAGCTAACAGGCTTTTGTCATTGTTTTAGTTCAGGAAAATGGATTTGTAATGAAGCATGAAGCTGTAACCAGAAACATTAAGGCAGCAATCATGAATGTCATGAAATATTTCATGTAGCAAAATTGGTTATTCTACACAGCATAAAACATATGCACACTTTGAAAAGCTTTTTTAAAAGTGGGAAACCGTTTCTAACACAAAAAGAGGAGATTTAGTAGGTACTCTAGAAAACTGAAAACAGTATAGAAAAATTCAATAATGGAAATCACAACCATGTGGTAATGGCCACTGATACTCTGGACCAATCAAGAATGGTGGTGGAAATGCACCTTCAAAAGAAAATTATAGGTCACATGGATCTGAAACTGATTCCTACTGGTCGGCAAGGGTGGGGCAATTTGAAGAAGATGGAAATGGCTAATGAGGGACTGTGAAACCTCTTCCTCATGGTCCATGAATTATAGAATCATAGAATTAGAAAAGATCATCCAGCTCAACCACCTTTCCATGAAAAGAAAGCACTCCAAATAAATGGCTATCCTTTGCTTAAAAGTCTTAAAAGAAAACTCCATCACACTTCGAGGCAATGCATTCCACTGTCAAATAACTCTTACCATGAAAAAGTTCTTCCTAATATGGTATTCAGGTGGAATCTCTTTTCTGCAATTTGAATCAATTGCTCTGTGTCCTAGTCTCTAGAGCAGCAGAAAACAAGCTGGCTTTATTTTCAATATGAAATCCTTTCAAATATTAAAGCATGGTTATTATTTCACTTCTTAAACTTTTTTTCTCCAGTCTAAACATATCCAGCTCCCTATGCTGCTTCTCATCGTGGAAGGTATCCAGGTCTTTTGCCATTTTTGTTCAATTGTGTCAACATCCTTCTTGAATTGTGGTGCCCAGAACTGGACAGTTCCAGGTGAGGTCTGGTTAAAACAAAGGAGAGTGGTGCTATTACTTTTCTTGATCTATATACTACAACTCCTATTAAGCAGCCTAGAATTGCATTGGCCCAGAGAGTTCATAAATTGGTCATATGATCTATGTATGGATAAGACTTTCAGTTAAACTGGAACAACCACCTTAAGTAGGAATTCTTTGTGGGGCACCTGTCCTCTTTAATGATGTGTCCTGTTAGTGACATATGTGGGTGTAATTTCGAAGTGTGCCTACTCATGTAACTTTATGATCATAGCATAATGAAAAATTCAATCCCTTCATCCAACATGAGCCACTTACCTGTTTTCAGGATGGTGATCTCCATACCCACATGAATATTCAACAGCCAGTGGTGGATGAGCGAGGATAGAGGTACGAGCCTTGTTCCTGTAACTGGCTGAGGTAAGAAACAAGTACTTCACTTTTACCCACTTTTGGTCTTTGGAGGCCCAAGAGGATGGCATAGCCTTCCTGCCTGAAACCATATAGTTGCTTTCTGCCTAGTTCTGCTGTTGCTGCTGTTGTCATTTCTGACTTAGGGTGACCCTATTATGGGATGAGCAACTTTAAGATGGATATAGATATTTCCCACTGGACAAAAAATATGTCCATACTACCATGAGGCACTTTCCTAGGTGTAACATGTCAATAGGATCTTGTTCATCATCTGTCCCCAACTTTAACTGTGGTTCTTCCTTGGTGAAGTGATGATGATGTTTATTTATACCCCACTTTTTCCTCTCCACAAGGAGAGAAAGGTATTTTGCTGTTCCTTCCAGTTCTGCATCACAGTCGCCTTGACTCCCCCTTTCATCTCTCTAGTGGCCCCATCACTCCTTTCATGGTCACACAATGTCAAAGACTTTTGAGAAGCAAATTATGAAAGCGGAAGGCATTATGCAAAATGAATAGATGTAAATGTGCTTAATCTGTACAATTTATTCTAAGCACAGAATGTGCATTACTTTGGCACAGTGTAAGGCCCAGCCTGAGAATGAACAGAGAAGCAATTTAAGTATGATTTGCTGAAGCTGGGTGTGGGGATTCATTCTGGCAAAATATGCAGCATCAATAAGCAATGCTATGTGACTACTAAATGACCAATATTTAAGGCAGAGGAAAACATCAACCTGATACAGGATACTAAGGTGAAGAAAAGGGCGAATAAAATTAGCACACTTTGTATTAAATCCAACTGATTGCTTGTCACTGCAGTGCATGTCCAGTTTCTAGCTTGACATCAGAGATGCAGTTGATGATGCTGCACTAGGTGAGAAAGGAAAAGAAAGAAAGCACAAGTCTCTAGCAAGCAATAGAAATGTAGCTTCAAAATTACTATGGCATTTTAAAAGGCATTCTTACAACTGTTCAGCAGTGATAAAAGCAGATAAAAGTTCAGCAGTGATAAAAGCATTTTTTCTTCTAGCGGGCCTTGATACCTTTCACACAATAGTGAGAAAACTCTCTTTCATTGATGTTCCTGCTGCTGAATTGGTCACTCCAATTTCAACCATTTTTCCTATCCAGTGAGACACTTTGGTTCACAGTCTCACATGGACTTTATGAGATAGGAAGATGCTGTAAACAAAACTTTTGGCAACTGGGGTGGTAACAGTAGGTCTGGTGGAGGTATCATCCCACCCCTACTTTACCAGCTTCCTGACGGAGAACAGGTGAGTTGCTTTCTGATATGGGAGAAAAGTGGTGGAGAAATAAATCCTTGTTTTTATGTGCCTTCATGTCATTTCTGACTTATGGTATAGAAAATTTTCCAGGACTGATGAGACAATCTTAGATATAATAAGAGTGGTCTTCTGTGAAAGGAGAAATTTATCCATAACCAATGTCATATGGGGTTTGCACAGAAATGGGCTGATACCTGAGGCCTTAGGGCTAAATCCATTCTTTCTGTGCTCCTAATTTTTGGGAATCCCCAAGTGGCTATGCTTTCATTGTCTCCAAATCACAATTGCTTTTTTAAATGGTTTCCCCCATTTAAAAATGTTGAAGTGCCTCTGTGAAGGCATAGTTATTGGCAAAGAAAGATACCAACATCTACTTTCCTTCTTGCCAGAGACCCAGGACCTTACGATGGCCAGTGACTGAAAGATTCCTTGCTCCTACTCTTCAATACAAAGAATTAGCTCAGCATTATGGTCAGTGCTGGCTGCCACTCCTTCAGTCACCATTTCCCAAAATAACGCTAAACAAAGAAGATGGCCAAATTCACTTGCCTTGAGCTGTTCAAAGCCTTGTTGTTATTACCATTCCCACTAGATAAAACAAACAAAAAAACACCTCACTGATAAGCAAGGTGTGTGTCCTTTGAGAAACTTATTAGCCCAGGGGCCCTTCAAACCTCACACCCAACCGTAGTTAGCCTACTCTGTAAATGCAGCAAACAAACCACTGCTATACCAACATGCAAAGCGCTTTCCTCCACAATGTTTCTGCAGTCTGTAGATTTTTATCAGAACAACAACCTTAGAAGAGAGGAAACCACATACCAGGGTCAGTACTCAAAAGTCCAAACTCAACATGACAGCATCAGCCACATTTTGCTTATGACTAGTCTGCTTCATACTCAGAACAAACAAGGTGTGTGTATTGTTGCATTCGTGTATCTCTTTTTAGCATCAGAGGGGCCTTACATGTTGGAACATATAATCAGTCTACCACTTTACCGTCCTTGTATTCTAAAGTTTTGGCCCATCTCTAGAGAGATGGGCCAAAACTAACAAAATGAAGTCCAACAGTGACAAATGCAAGATACTCCACTTGCATTTGGCAGGAAAAATGAAATGCAAAGATACAAAATGGGGGATGCCTCACTCGAGAGCAGTACGTGTGAAAAAGATCTTGGAGTCCTCGTGGGGAACAAGTTAAACATGAGCCAACAATGTGATGTGGCGGCAAAAAAAGCCAATGGGATTTTGGCCTGCATCAATAGGAGCATAGTGTCTAGATCTAGGGAAGTCATGCTACCCCTCTATTCTGCTTTGGTTAGACACACCTGGAATATTGTGTCCAATTCTGGGCACCACAATTCAAGAGAGATATGAGAAATTAGCGGTATACAAGTGTACCAAATAAAATAAAAAAAATAAAATAAAAAAAAATATTGTGTCCAATTCTGGGCACCACATTTCAAGAGAGATATTGACAAGCTGGAATGTGTCCAGAGGAGGGCGACTAAAATGATCAAGGGTCTGGAGAACAAGCCCTATGAGGAGCGGCTTAAATAGCTGGGCATGTTTAGCCTGAAGAAGAGAAGGCTGAGAGGAGATATGATAGCCATGTATAAATATGTGAGAGGAAGCCACAGGGAGGAGGGAGCAAGCTTGTTTTCTGCTTCCTGGAGACTAGGACGCGAAACAATGGCTTCAAACTACAAGAAAGGAGATTCCATCTGAACATGAGGAAGAACTTCCTGACTGTGAGAGCTGTTCAGCAGTGGAACTCTCTGCCCCAGAGTGTGGTGGAGGCTCCTTCTTTGGAAGGTTTTAAACAGAGGCTGGATGGCCATCTGTCAGGGGTGATTTGAATGCAATATTCCTGCTTCTTGGCAGGGGGTTGGACTGGATGGCCCATGAGGTCTCTTCCAACTCTTTGATTCTATGATTCTATGAAATGTTTCCTGATTCCCTGATTCCATCTAATACTAATATTAGATACAGGTGAGGTGAAAAGGCAGTACAAGTATATAAAGCTCAGGGACACATCTATTAAACAAAATAGATGTATCCCTGAGCTTTGCCTCTTTAACAGAAACTTTGGTAACAGAGATAGAAATATCATGTAAGGAATGATTACAGGAGAGCAATTCAATTTATTTCAGCAAACTTTTCATTTAACTTTTCATTTAAAAACATGCACATAAGAATTGAAACAATCAGGTCAGGTAAACCTTCTATGAGTAAACAAAACATATTGAATCTTCTAGAGAGCACTTGAAAATCTTCCAAATTTGATTTAGCCTTTGCAAAATGGAGCTATTTTAATTTTTTAACTAAAGTATGTCTATACAGATGAAAGATTATTGCAAATTTAGGTGTGGGAATGTTTAACTACCTAAATAGGAGTACAGTCCTGAGATAGTTGGTTGATTGGCATCTTTAAGCACAGCCTATGAAAGTTACCTTTCAAGAGTATAGCTCCCCAAATCCTAACAGCTGTTAGATTCTGGAAGTACTAGCCTAAGAAATAATGTCTTCAAGCTCTGTTCTAATGTTCGCCTATTTATCCTACTTACTTAGCATTTCTGAATGAATATGCAGATTATGGCGCAGCTAAATCTTCAGATTCCATGCTTGTCTAATTTTAATTAAGCATTTTTCAGCTCAAAAACACATTAGGAAAAATGGTATACAAAATATGTATTGTAGGAATAGATGCATTTTAAAAGTGTATACCATAAACTATTGCGATTTTTTTTACTGTTTAGAAACTGTACAATAGATGCTAATTTTTCACAATTCTCCAAAACCATGACTGGACAAGAGATATTAAACCTGCACAATTATGATAAAATCAGGGTGTGTATGTGTGAGTGTGTATGTTTATGAATGTGTGTGTGTGTGCGTGGAGCCCTGGTGGTGCAGCAGGTTAAACCACTAAGCTGCTGACTTGCAGATCAAAAGGTTGATCGCATCCTGGGAGCAGAGTGAGCTCCCGCTGTTAGCCCCAGCTCTGCCAACCTAGCAGTTTGAAAACATGCAAATGTAAGTAGATCAATAGGTACTGCTCTGGCTCGAAGGTAATGGTGCTCAATACAGTCATGCCTGCCACATCTACGGACAGCGCCGGCTCTTCAGCTTAGAAATGGAGATGAGCACTACCCACAGAGTTGGACACAACTAGACTTAATATCAGGGGAAACTCTTACCCCCCTCTCATTATTATTATTATTATTATTATTATTATTATTATTAGTCTCCCTCTCTGTGGCAGTCTTTTCCACATTCAAACAGTTCTTGCAGTCAATGGTCAGAATATCCTTTCTTTGAATCCATAGGTTCTGATCTTTTCATCTAGAGCCGGACAAAAAAGCTTGCTCCATCTTCCATGTGACATACCTAAAGATTTTTGAAGGCGATTATTATTTACCTCTCCACCTTTTTTCTAAAGGCCAAGTATACCTAGATCCTCAATTATTCCCTATATGAAGACTGAACAATGTTTCTTTTGCAAATACAATGAAACAGACAGATTGAGGTTTATTGCTATCAGGATTGAACTGAAACTAAATTTTCGCCCACATGCAAGTGTAGCTGTGATTTGACAAAAGAATGGGATAGAAACAGCTGTGGCTGGGACTTCCATGTCCATTCTTGGTTTTAGTTGCCCAAGCTTCAAATAAAATTTTCAAGATGCTAAATCCTAGGACCAGAATAGATTCAGCACCTTGTATAGCTAATTTAAAGTTCAGACTACAACTTAAATTGATAAACCTCCTCACAAATATGAAAGCTGCTATCACCATTAGATAAAAGTAATATTATAAATGCTCACTTTGGAATAAGCCTTGAAATCATTGCTTGCTAACAGGATTATGACAGAAGTTTCCCTAGAACACAAATCCAGAGCCTAAGAGCAAATGCACTCTACGTGGGGCTGCCCTTGAAAATGGCTCGGAAATTTCAGATGGTCCAAGGGGCGGCAGCCAGGTTGTCAACTGGGGCTCCTTACAGGGAGCGATCAACCCTCCTGTTTAAGGAGCCATACTGGCTGCCATTCATTTTCCGGACCCAATTCAAGGTGCAGGTTCTCACCTACAAAGCCCTGAATGGTTTGGGACCCGCCTACCTGCGCGACCGCATCTCTGTATACGAACCCTCACGATCTCTTCGATCATCTGGAAAGGCCCTGCTCGCACTCCCACCTGTATCACAACCGCGATTGGTGGGGACGAGAGAGAGGGCCTTTTTGGTGGTGGCCCCTCAACTCTGGAACTCACTTCCTAAGGACATCATGCATGCCCCAACTCTGGTAGTCTTTAGGAGGAGCTTGTAGATGTGGTTGTTCCAGTGTGCCTTCCCAGAATAATGATCCCATAGCACTTTGTCCTCCAAAACACTTTATATTGTTTTAGGTCTGCTTGTATGTTTCCACAAACCGCCCCATCACTTTTTCGCCCATCTCCAGCATTATTTTTAATTTTAATTACATTTGGCCTACCCATAGTTTTTAAAGTGTGTTGTCCTATTGTTAATGCTTATGTTATTGTTTTATTGTCTTGGTTGTTTTTAAATTGCTTGTATTGTTGTTGTTATTGCTTGTATTGTTGTATTCTGGGCTCGGCCTCATGTAAGCCGCACCGAGTCCCCTGGGAAGATGGTAGCGGGGTATAAATAAAGTATTATTATTATTATTATTATTATTATTATTATTATTATTATAAAGGCCAAAAAGCCCTGACAACCATCATTTCACATTTTGATTTACGATCAAGAAGCTAACATTATTCTGGAAGGAGGAGCCTTCAAGTTGACCTTCACAGCTGTCTGAAACCATTACAACACAGGGATGTGAAAATGTCCTCTTCTCAATTTGGTTGCATTTCTTCAAATGCCACCTGCATTCTTGGTTCATTTGAGGTTATGATGTGTTTATTTTCTCCAATGCACGGGATGGGTGGGTATTAAATGGCAGATGTATTCATTTAGATTTTGAGAGCTTAGCACTTTTACAGCATAGTTTTGAACATGTCGGTGTTGAATTAAATTACTAATTTCATCCAGAGGCAGTTAAAGTGGTGTCAGTGTGACACCACTTTACCTGCCATGGTTCAATTCTGTAGAATCATGAAAATTGTGGTTTTACAAGGTCTCTGCAAAGTTGTGCCTCATCAAATAACAACTCTCATGATTCCATATCATTGAGTCATGGCAGTTAAAGTGGTGTCAAACTACACTAATTCTATAGCATGGATATAACCTTCATCTACACTACCCATGTGGTTCTCTCTATGTTTCATCCACCTTAATCAATTGATTTTGGTAGATGGAAAATGGAGGTAATTACATTTTAGTCCATTTTTGATGAATTGATCATTTTTCGAAAATTCTATCATACATAGAACACATGTTTTAAATATCCAGAGATGGGAGACATCAATACTAACAAGCTATTCTAATTCCAGACATATTGGAAAACCTGTTCAATGACTTAGGCTGAAAATTGGCAGAGTGAATGCTCCAAATGAAATTCAGAACATTGTTTCTCACTCTTTACTAATTTTTTATCTTTTCCGGAAATAATTTTGCTGCCATTGCAAAAATGAAATATGCAATACTTGAGGGCCTGAAATTTAGCAGACTCCTGAGTACTGGAACAGAAATGATATGTGATGGGTCTACATCATTACGACACAGTCTCATAACCATTTGGCAGACTAGAGGAAAGGTAATGAAGGAAGGAAATCCATCTCAAAGTGCAATAAAGGCAATTTAATATCTAGGCTATATACACATGTATATATACAAAGCACAAGTGTTCTTCTTGGCTGGTTTCAGTTTTCTATAAAGCACCATAAATTCCACAGTCTACTGTGTCCATGTTAACCCAATATATCTGCCAGCAAACACTAATTCTTTTCTAGTGTCCTGGAAGAGCACCAAAAGATTTTCTTTAGCACCAAGAATTGGAAGTTTTCTTTAGCACCAAAAACCAACCAACCAAACAAACAAGCAGCCAGCCTAGCACACACCTTCACCCCCCCCCCAACAATGGTGACATATATATGTTAATCTCTTGACCAGAGGTTAGAATATTACTTTCAAAAAGTAAGTAATTACTGTTTTGATTCCAAACCAATTGAATACTATACCTTAACATTTATAAAAGAATAGAGTAGAGAAAGGCAAGAGCTTAATCTGTCTCAAGAGAACCTAAAAGAAGCTGTCCTTCAGTTTAAATGCAGCTGCCTTGAAGAAGCATCTGAGAGCCCTGTTGACATTGGAAAGGAGGCAAAGATTTGAAGGATTCAAAGCCCAGGTCTGGAAGCGATTCCATGCTAGAAATTCCTGCTGTTCCCTCGAGAGACAGAGGGACGCCAGGCGCTGCAAATATACAACAGCTGGTTCCATAATTTGCGTGTCGCAGGGAGGAGGAATTCCATTTCTTGTTCAAGTCACTCTGCTTTGCAGGACTAACTCCTAAGTCAAAATAAAACTGCACACCGCTGTATACTTTATCTCAGGCGTGGGCAAACTAAGGCCCGGGGGGCAGATGTGGCCCCCTGGGTGCTTACCTCAGGCCTTCCTCATTTTCCTTGTCCTCCTGGCCACCACGTCCTTATGCCAAAATAACAAGGGAGGAAGACATGCAGCAGCCGAGAGCCCTCTGTAGCACTCTCACACACTGCCTGTGTTGCCCTCCTCCCAGCATAATGCCAAGGATCAGAGGAGGATCAGGGCAGTCGCCTTGTGTCCCGTCTTCTTCCCGGCATAAAGACAGGGCAAGCAGCCCCATCCTTATGCTGGGAGGGCAACCTGAGGATGACCCAGCCCTGACCCCTCCTGGCCCCACCCTCTCCTGGGCCAGTGCCCGACCAGTGTGTGCCTGCCCCCCCCCCCACCTCCTTGGCCAAGCCCACAATGAGGTCCTAAGGCAAAAAAGTTCGCCTGTGCCTGCTTTATCCAAATACCTAGAAAAACCTGTAAAATTCAGGAGATGGGATACATAGTTTTCATTTGTTGATCTATCTCTATCAGCTTCAAGGAATGACAGAAATTAGAGAGGAGTGCAATGATGCAGCTAAAGAGGATAACAGTATGATGAGGGCATTGCCCATTCAAATAAGAATTAATTTTTCAGAAACCGTTTTGCTGCTGTTGCAAAAATAAAATATTGCAATTACTTAAATCTCCATTTGAGCATTTAGAAGTATAGTTTAGACCACAAAAATGGGGGGGGGGGGTAGGCAAAGATACCAAGGGAATGCAAACTATAACCATTCTAGGTATTAATATTTTAACGTCTCATTTTCTGCAATGCTAGAATTTGGGAACTAAAGGGAAAAACTAATTTTGGAGGCAGAATTATTATTAGGGGGGCAATGCCTTTATTTGGCCCCCAATCTGTAGTTGCACCCATGAGGCACATTGTACATTGGATCTCTCTACTATTTGTAGATAGACATTTATGTTAACATACCATGGCTTTCTGTGATCTCATGCCTTCCAAATGTGTTGAAATATAATATCCCTAAACCCCAAGCAAAAGGGCTGATGGGGACAATAGGCATGGCAATCCAATACATCTGGAAGCTGCTATTTCTAGCAAAGTTAAGTTATAATATCAAGGTAGCGCTATAGAGCAGGTATGAAGAATATGAAACTCTACAGATATTGCTGGATTACAGCCTCAGTCAGACTGGCCCATGCTGAAAGGTGATGGGAATTGACATTTAGCACCACTGATGGTAGCATTGTTTCACCATCCTAATATTAGAGTTTTCAGAAAGGTTCACATAAGACATCTCAGAAGATTACACTTGTAAGAATCAGAAAGAAAACACTTGCTTTAGATATCTTCTTTCCTCCTTATTTACCCATGCCTGAAGTAGCTAGTTCTTGGGAAAACTATCTTTTAGAATTACTGGGAGCCAACAACCCTTCAGGACTATGGTGACTTGAGCATTTTCTGCCCCCCCCCCCCCAAATGGCATGATTTATTTCCATATATTCCTCAACCTTGTTACCTCAAGATGACTTGCAGTTCCCACTGTCTTTAGCCATGTGGACAATGGAAATGTAGCCCAACTGATCTCAACAAGCAAGGGCAAGATCAGGATAGTAACTTCAAATATTACAAAAAAAACCCCCAAAAAACAAACAGTCAAAGTGGAGGGTAAATTCTCAGGTTGTTGGAGCACAGATATATTCAGGAAACCTGGGGATCCTAGTTCTTATAGCCTTATTTGGCAAAACATGCAAGCTTGAGAATGAATCAGAAACTGTTACGGGAAGATAAATGATGCCTTCCAATTCTGAATAGCTGCTTTTCTTCAGTTCACACTCTTAGATATATAACACCTTCTTTTTTAAGCAAAGGAACAAGAGTTGTATCCTGCCTATATATCCCTAAGACACCAGATCCTGTCTGGTCTTGAAAGCTAAGCAGGTTTAGCCCTTTGAACATGTCAAAGTGGTTGTAGAAGGGTGACCATAAAGGAATACCAGGAGTTGTAGGGTATGTTTCAGTGGAAAGAATGGGAAAATTGCATCTAGGTATTCCTTGCCTTTAAAAACCCTATAACAAGCATATGGTTGTCACATATTGGCAGGAGACTTAAAAACACACACACATCTAAAAATTGTGCTGTCCACAGGCCACATAAGCCATAAAGGCCACCTGTGAAACCTCTGGCCCTGCAATTCCCCATTGTTTAGATATCCCCGATTTAAAAAATGTGCCTCGTGAAGTTATCAGAGGTCACAATTTTGCTTATAATAATGTGTCACCTGGACCTTTTAAACAATACTTTTAAAAATCCTCCCCAAGCCTTAAAGTCCAGATATGGTGTGCAGGCTTTGGTGAGAGGGATAACAAGTGTGTAGCCTGCTCTTCCTTGATCCAGAGCTTAGAAGAGTTCCTTTTTGTGCTACAGTTTCCAGAATGTTAAGAGTTACAGTCTGAAAAAGAAAAATTTCCATGCTATGTTTCAACTCCTCTTCTTCTCCCTTTTGATGCTTCTGCGTATAATCTCCTGCAGTTCATAGGCATATCAGACATTCAGGAGGCAGAGGAGAAAACATCTATTCAAGAGCAGGCTTAATCAGGTAGCCGCTGAAGGTAATGTAGATGTCCACATCATCGCTGTAAATGGCATTGTCACGCTCGCGCTTGTAGAGGCGAACCCAGACCTCATCATTCTCCCGTAGTTCGAGCATCAGGCTCTGGCTTTGCATGATGCTGCGGTCACTGGGTTGGGCATAGAGGATGACTTCCTCCTGATCATTCTGCATGACATGCATGTAGGTCTCCTTGAAGTTCCAAGTGTGGACATTGAGGCTGAAAAAGTATAAACCAGCCACATAACAGTAGAATTTGCCTTTGAACATGTCAAAGTGGCTGTAGAGGTTCACAAACACAGAGTCAAAGATCAAGGCCTGGTAGCCCTCACTGCTATGGAGTGCCTTCTTGCGGCCCACAGAGAAGGCAGCATATTGGTGTTTGCAGGGATCCCCTGGGGTCCCCATCTGTCCCTTGCTGCCCTTTGGGCCCAGAGCTCCCTGTTCTCCTGGTGGACCTTCTTTTCCCCATTTCCCAGGAATTCCTGGTTCTCCTCGATCACCTTTGTCTCCTGCAAAAAGAGAAAAAAAGCAAAGAGAAGACTGGGTGATTATCTCAGGGATACTATGGGTCTCCAGCCACTCACTCCCATATGTGAAAAAGCACACAGCACTGGGAGTCTTCTAGCCTAGGGTGAAATTAATTGGGGTTTGATAAGACATAGGAGTATAAACATATATATGGTATGGAGAATAAGGTCACAGATATGTTTACTTCTCTCTCAGACACATTTAATATTGAACTCAGTGTGATCCACTGAACCAGACTGGTGGGAGATTCAGAAGGGATAAGAGGAAGTATAGGTTGAACATCCCTTTTCCAAAATGCTTGGAACCATAAGTGTTTTGACTTTTTAAAATTTTTGGATTACCTGTATTTGTGTAAACATATATAATGACATATTTGGAGATGAGAGCGAAGTCTATACATGAAATTCATTAGTGTCCCATATACACCTTATGCACATAACCTGAAGATAATTTTATATAACATTTTTTTTTGTATGAAATAAAGTTTGTGTACCATACATGGAAGCATCAGCAAATGTCAGCTCACAGCGGCTGCTCCCAATGAAAACACCGGAATGCGCTCCGGTGTCAAGAGAAACTTTACTGCTGGAAACATGGACATGTGAAAAGCCAAGATTGCTCAGCGCCAGTTGGTCACTCCTTATATACACACCCACTTACTTGAAAATGCATTTCCCACCAAGCAAAAACCCTGTGCAATATCCCTGTCAATCTGTTAGCCATTTTCTTCCAAGGTCGGCAGCTGCAAGTTCCTTATCAATGTCCTACGTCAGGACCCTGGTTTTCAGCGCCAAACCCAAGGGTCTGGAAACTGGATCCTGACAAGCAAAGGTGTTCCTATCTCAGCCACTCATGTAGACAATTTTGGATTTTAGAGTATTTTGGAATTCTGAATACAGGATGCCCACCCTGTTCTTTGCTTCACAGAACTGAACTATGGAACTTCCTGCCACAAGATGTAATAATGGACACTAACTCAGGGTGATGTTAACATGTTTGTTGCAGAGCTACTCCCTCAAGTGGTGAAAGGCCACATAATTTTCCTCTGTATCTTACATTTAGCATGCTTTACTTTATGCCTGATTAATAGATTACAAATCTGATTGCTGAGGTGTGTATATTTAAAGAACTCCAGTTGAGGGAAGTTCTTTTATAAGGAATATGTGTTCCCCTTGTATATTTAGTTTGATTGCCTGGTGGTATTTGAAAGGGATGGTTTGACAAATTCAAGGAGGAGAAAGTATCCAATTGCTATTAGTCATGTTATTTATAGACTATCACTATTATCAAATATAGTATACCACTGGGTACTAGTTACTAGGGAATAGCAGTGGAAGGATATGACTGTGCCAGTGTTAGGCATGTGGGATTCACATGGGTATTTTGGTGGTCAATGTAGGAACAAAGTACTGGGCAGGTCTTTGATTTATTTCAGCAGGGTTCTTATTAAGTACTTCCGGCCTATGTGGGTGATCTGGAAGCCCTGACTCATAGTGTGTTTCCACATTTCTGCAATCTTCTTGATAACTGTGATTAAATGCTGGCACAGAAACTAGCAGCAGTGATGGGGCACTGGTGTTTCGGGCACGATGGAAAGCAAATTCAGCTATAGGAGAAATCACAGTAGGAGAAGGAAAAGAAGATTTTTGGAAGCCTCAGAGAAAGGAAATGTTTAAATAATATATAGATATTGATATACAGATATACAATATTATACATATTATTATATATGTTATATATTATAAAAGCTGTAGCTCTTCTACAGTGAAATGGATAGACTAGCCTCTACTTGTCTACTCTAGAAATCTGCAATACATCTGATCTCCAGAACTGGAGGTCTTGGGATCCTGGACTTTTACAGAATCTTTTTTTCTATCTATAAATGAAACTAACTATAAGACTTTATATGGCATCCTTCTGACTCACAATGCTTTCTAGACCAGTGGTTCTCAACCTGTGGGTCAATAGGTGTTTTGGCCTACAACTCCCAGAAATCCCAGCCAGTTTACCAGCTGTTAGGATTTCTGGGAGCTGAAGGCCAAAACATCTGGGGACCTACAGGTTGCGAATCACTGTGCTAGAAAGATCAGATTACAACTCTCATCACCCCAACTAGAAGAACTACAGTGAGAATTGTAGTCTGGTACATCTGAGGGCACCAAACTGGGGAAATCTCCACCAAAGGGATGGACAAACCAGATTTGAGCATTGGGCTATGACTCTAGAGACCAGGATGTGATTTCCTGCTTAGCCATGGAAACCCATTAGGCGACGTTGGGCAATCACAGATTTTCAGCCCCAGAAAACCCTGTGAAAGGTTCACCTTAGGATCACCATATGTTGGACTTATAATCAGCACTGAGAAATATAGGTAAAAATCCTATATTATGATAAATGCCATTAATCATCACTTGAGCGGATTACATCCTGTCTTCTCTTCTCTCCCCTCCCTCTTTGCAAAAATCTACCTTTTACATTCTGTACCCACACACTCAGCTATTTATTGGGAAGTAGAGAGAGGGAGGGCAGTGGTGGGCAAACACTCGGCTATATGCCTGCAGCTGATTTAAGAGCAACGATGTGGTCCTCCAGGACTTCCAGAAGATGGACTCATCACTGCACATCCATCTACATGCTCATGACTGGATGGTTCTCTACTGCCATCTCCCACTTTCCATCAGCCAGAAGAAGTCTGTGGCCAGTGCAGCATGTAAAAAGTAAGATTTAAGAGAGGTTTTGATCATTGTATAAGAAAAGAAAAAAATTCTGATCTCCACAATGCCCAAAAGAAAAATGAAAGCACCATTCACTTACATGGTGCTTTGCATGTCACTAATAGGATGCCAGTCATAGTTTATTTAGCTGTACATAAGCTAAACTTAGCATGAAATGGACTTCTGTTGGAGTGGTTTGTGTTTTCCTGCATGGCAGAGGGTTGGACTGGATGTGGTCTCTTACTAATGTATGATTCTATAGTCAACCCCCCATATCTATTAAAGATATGTTGTTGTTGTTCATTCGTTCAGTCGTCTCCGACTCTTCGTGACCTAATGGACCAGCCCACGCCAGAGCTCCCTGTCGGCCGTTACCACCCCCAGCTCCCTCAAGGTCAGTCCAGTCACTTCAAGGATGCCATCCATCCATCTTGCCCTTGGTCGGCCCCTCTTCCTTTTGCCTTCCACTTTCCCCAGCATAATTGTCTTCTCTAGGCTTTCCGTCTCCTCATGATGTGGCCAAAGTACTTCAACTTTGTCTCTAGTATCTTTCCCTCCAGTGACAGTCGGGCTTTATTTCCTGGAGGATGGACTGGTTGGATCTTCTCGCAGTCCAAGGCACTCTCAGAACTTTCCTCCAACACCACAGCTCAAAAGCATCGATCTTCCTTCGCTCAGCCTTCCCTAAGGTACAGCTCTCACATCCGTAGGTTACTACAGGGAATACCATGGCTTTGACTAGGCGGATCTTTGTTGCCAGTCTGATGTCTCTACTCTTTACTATTTTATCGAGACTGGACATTGCTCTCCTCCCAAGAAGTAAGCGTCTTCTGATTTCCTGGCCACAGTCTGCATCTGCAGTAATCTTTGCACCTAGAAATACAAAGTCTGTCACGGCCTCCACGGTTTATCCCTCTATTTTCCAGTTGTCAATCATTCTTGTTGCCATAATCTTGGTTTTTTTGAGGTTTAGCTGCAACCCGGCTTTTGCGCTTTCTTCTTTCACCTTGATTAGAAGGCTCCTCAGCTCCTCCTCGCTTTCGGCCATCAGAGTGGTGTCATCTGCATATCTGAGGTTGTTAATGTTTCTTCCAGCAATTTTCACCCCAGCTTTGCATTCATCCAGCCCCCACATCGCATGATGTGTTCTGCATACAAGTTAAAAAGGTTGGGTGAGAGTATGCAGCCTTGCCGTACGCCTTTCCCAATCTTGAACCAGTCTGTTGTTCCGTGGTCAGTTCTTACTGTAGCTACTTGGTCCTTGTACAGATTCCTCAGGAGAGAGACAAGGTGGCTTGGTATGCCCATCCCACCAAGAACTTGCCACAATTTATTATGATCCACACAGTCAAAGGCTTTAGAATAGTCAATGAAGCAGAAGTAGATGTTTTCTGAAACTCCCTGCCTTTCTCCATTATCCAGCGGATATTGGCAATTTGGTCTCTCGTTCCTCTACCTTTTCTAAACCCAGCTTGAACATCTGGCAACTCTCGCTCCATGTATTGCTGGAGTCTTCCTTGCAGGATATTGAGCATTACCTTACTGGCATGAGAAATAAGGGCCACTGTACGGAAGTTTGAGCAGTCTTTCGCATTTCCCTTTTTTGGTATGGGGATATAAGTTGATTTTTTCCAGTCTGATGGCCATTCTTGTGTTTTCCATATTTGCTGGCAAATGGCATGCATCACCTTGACAGCATCATCTTTTAAGATTTTAAACAGTTCAGCTGGGATCCCGTCATCTCCTGCTGCCTTGTTGTTAGCAATGCTTCTTAAGGCCCATTCAACCTCACTCCTCAGGATGTCTGCTTCTAATTCATTCACCACACCGTCAAAACTATCCTCAATATTATTATCCTTCCTATACAGATCTTCTGTATAGTCTCGCCACCTTCTCTTGATCTCTTCAGCTTCTGTTAGGTCCCTGCCATCTTTGTTTCTTATCATACCAATTTTTGCCTGAAATTTACCTCCAATGTTTCTAATTTTCTGGAAGAGGTCTCTTGTTCTTCCTATTCTGTTGTCTTCTTCCACTTCCATGCATTGCTTATTTAAAAATAGTTCCTTATCTCTTCTGGCTAACCTCTGGAATTGCGCATTTAACTGGGCATATCTCCCCTTATCCCTGTTTCCTTTTGCTTTCCTCCTTTCTTGGGCTACTTCCAGTGTCTCAGCAGACAACCATTTTGCCTTCTTGGTTTTCTTTTTCTTTGGGACGTACTTTGTTGCCGCCTCCTGAACAATGTCTCGGACTTCTGTCCATAGTTATTCTGGGACTCTGTTTACTAAATCTAGTCCTTCAAATCTGTTCTTCACTTCCACTGTATATTCGCTAGGAATGTTAGTGAGATCATATCTAACTGGTCTGTGTATTTTCCCTGATCTCTTTAGTTTTATTCTAAATTGGGCAATAAGAAGTTCGTGATCTGAGCTACAGTCAGCCCCAGGTCTTGTTTTCACCGACTGGATGGATGTCCGCCACCTTTGGCTGCAAAGGATGTAGTCAATCTGAGTTCGGTGTTGACCGTCTGGTGAGGTCCATGTGTAAAGCCGTCTTTTAGGTTGTTGGAAGAGAGTATTCGTTATACACAGCGAGTTTTCCTGGCAAAATTCTATCAGCCTGCGTCCCGCTTCATTTTGTTCTCCCAGACCATGCTTGCCTGTGATCCCAGTTGTCATTTGACTTCCCACCTTGGCATTCCAGTCTCCTGTAATGAAAATAATGTCTCTTTTTGGTGTATTATCCAGTAGGTCCTGCAGATCCTCATAGAACTGATCTACTTCTGCTTCTTCAGCAGCTGTGGTTGGGGCGTACATTTGGATCACTGTAATGTTGAAAGGCTTTCCTTGCACTCGAATTGAGATCATTCTGTCATTTTTTGGGTTGTATCCAAGCACCGCTTTAGCGAATTTCTTATTAATTATGAAGGCTACTCCATTCCTTCGATGTTCCTCTTGTCCGCAGTAGTAGATCTGGTGGTCATCTGATGTGAAGTGGCCCATTCCAGTCCACTTCAGTTCGCTGACCCCCAGAATGTCTATCTTTAGTCTTGACATCTTTAGTCTTGACATCCAATTTGCCCTGGCTCATAGATCTTACATTCCAGGTTCCTATGGTGTGTTGATCTTTAGAGCATCGGATTCGTCGTTCACCTCCAGTACCGTCGGCCGCTAGCCTTCCTTTCGGCTTGGAGCTAGCTGCGTCATCACATCTGGGGCTAGTTGAACTTATCCTCTGCTCCTCCCCAGTAGCATTTTGGCCATCTTCCGACCTGGGAGTCCCATCTTCCAATGGCATACCGACATATCTCTGGTTGTACTGGTCCATTTAGTTTTCTTGGCAAGGATACTGGAGTGGTTTGCCATTGCCTTCCCCAGGGATCACGCTTGGTCTGACCTCTCTGCCACAACCGTCCCGTCTTGGGTGTCCCTTCACGGTTTCGCTCATGACATCATTGAGGTGCTCAAGCTCCAGCGCCCCGACAAGGCGGTGATCCTTTGCTGGAGCAAAGGATTAAAGATATATTTCCACTCAAACAACAATTACATGAAAATGGATTGTTGAAGGCTTTCATGGTCAGAATCACTGAGTTGTAGGTTTTTCAGGCTATATGGCCATGTCCTAGAAAAACTCTCTCCTGATGTTTCACCTGCATCTATGTCAGGCATCCTCAGAGGTTGTGAGGACCTCACAATCTCTGAGAATGCCTGCCATAGATGCAGGTGAAACGTCAGGAGAGAATGTTTCTAGAACATGACCATATAGCCTGAAAATCCTAAATCAACCCAATTACATGAAACCGTGGATATGAACAAACACCATTCAATTATCAGCATACCATACAGTATCCTCTCTAGAAATTTGCTACATCTTCTAATGCAATCAACTGGAGGATCTAGCAAATTGAACATGGGATAGGGTTTCCTTTGATACACGGTTCTTAAAGAATATGTACAGACACTCACCCAATGACTACATTGTAGTTGATACTTTATAAAGGCCTATCATCAAAAAACTGTTCTCTTCTTGTAGGGAGCTTCTAACCTAGTGATCCTAGGTTGGGAAGACACATCAAAAGAAGGAAAAGGGAAGGCTCTGGAGGGCTGCTCTACACTTACCCTTCAGAATGGTGATGTTGATATATGGACGCACCTCTGGTATTACATAAGGTGAGGAGCGGGGACTTGTGCCATGATGGGACTCAGATGTAGAGACATCCAGGGGATCACAGCAACGCTTGCAATCCCTCAAGGTAGCTGAAACATCTTGGGGAGCAGATTCATCAGCAGGAGCTCCAAACACCAACAGTGGAAGTATGAGGAAGGCCAAGGGGATTTGTAGCCAGGTAGCTTCCATGGTGAACTGCTGGGAGAAAACAAGGAAAATCAGGAGAACTAGAAATAAGGTAATGTGAAAGGACGGCCTATTATGTCTTGATTATCTGTGGGAGCAGGCCCGTAGCCAGGATTTTGATTCCAGGGGGGGGGGGTTTGATTTTTGTATCGTTATCCCAATACCCCCATGCATATGGGATATATTGAGCATGGTGATCAGATCATGATATGAATAAACATAACAGTTTAAATAATGTACCAGTAAGGCCTTCTCGCAGACCACCATGAAGCCCCTCAAGCCCCCCCCCCCCAGCTACATGCCTACCTCAGAGGCAACAAGGAGGGAAAGGTTGTTCGAATTATATCCTTCTCCAGTTCTCAGAATTTGAACTCATAATGCTAAAGAAATAAGATGCATGTTGTTGTTGTTGTTGTTATCTCTTTTAAATAAGTTGTTTCTAATGAAAATCAGTACAGTAAATAAAGAGGAACACTCAGACAACAGGGGAATTTCTGAGATGAAACCATCAGGGTGAATTAACCCCTCCCAACAAAGGATTCCCACAGGCAGGTGTCATCTAGTCTTTGAAGCTGCAAGGCCATTCGATGCTACTCAAGGTGACCAATTGCAACATTCACACTTGCTCCAAACAGACAAGAGTTCTTTCTCCCACCCTGGACATTCTACAGATATATAAAACTCACTTGCCTAGTTTTCAACAGACCTCACAACCTCTGAGGATGCCAGCCATAGATGTGGGCTAAATGTCAGGAGAGAATGCTTCTAGAATATGGCCATACAGCCTGGAAAACTCACAGCAGTCCAGAGACCAAGATGGATTGTGTGAATTCTTCCTAATCTGGTAGCCTCCAACCAGCTGGATGGGGATAATAGTTGTCATTCTCCAGCTGCTGTGAAAGGCGCAGATATTTTTCTTCCAACATAGATCATAAATGACAACTTTGCAGAGGCAAAGGCCATTGTACAGTGACAAATGTCTCTCTTGGATGAACCAGTCACTAGATAGTGCTGCCACATTTGCAGGTGACTCTGATGAAATGAATGGAGAAAACCAAGTTTTCTCATAAATGTCAGAAAAGTCTAAAATAAACTTCCTACTCAATGCAAAATAAACAGACTAGATGTACCATGGGAAATCTCTGACTAGAATTTTTTTATAACTTTTGTTTTGTTTTGTTAAAAGCATCTGTGGAGGGCGAGGAAGGAGATTGGATAGGAACTACATGAATGGTCATGAAGTTTCTCCATTTAAAATACAGACTAATACCCTAAAGCAGTGGTTCTCAACCTGTGGGTCCCCAGGTGTCTTGGCCTACAACTCTCAAAAATCCCAGCCAGCTGTTAGGATTGCTGGGAGTTGAAAGCCAACACTTCTGGGGACCCACAGGTTGAGAACCACTGCCCTAAAGGCACTAGAGTCATTTGATCTTGGAAGCTAAACAGGATTTGTTATTGGAATGGGAGGCCATCAATGAATACCAAGTGCTGCAGGGAGCATTTCACAGGCAGGAAGTGGTAAAACCACTGATCATTACTTGTCTAAGAAAACCCTATGAAATTCATGGAATCACTATGAACCTCTAAGCTGATAAGGGACTTGAAGGCGCTCACACACACCCATTTTATTTTAATTCCACGCTGCTATTAATTGAAAAATACAGATACTTGTATTCTCTTTTCTTCCCACTGGAGAACTAGTAATATTATGATGGGGAAACCTCACCCCCTCATTCAAAACTGTATATCTGTCCCAAATCCTCTGGTCTTTTAGAAACTCCTAACATGCAAACAATTGCAGTGGTTTCCAACTTGGGGTCCATGGTCTGCAAGAACAAAAATAAGGTCCATGGCCTCACCATTACTACACCATTGCCTCAAAGCCATGTGGCAACGGAAGCAACTGATATAATGAAATCCTTTTATAGTGCAGTGGCAATGGGGATGTTGGGAGGGGAGACAAAGATTACTACTACCACAAATACGGTTTTCTCTGGGTGAGCGGATGGTGACTACTGGATGGCATATGTTCTGTATCAGAAACTTGAGCTGATGTGGTCTATCAAATGCAATTTTCTGAATCAGCACCCTAAATAGTCAAACTGTATCTAAAGTTGACCAAAAACTAATTAGTAATCCTTATGGTACTAATGTTGGAGAGTGGTCCCTGGTCAAGTGATCTCTGGTCAAAGTGGTCCCTCCTTGGTCAAAGTGGTCTTTCCTTTGTCAAAGTGGTACCTCCTTGGTCAAAGTGGTCCCTCCTTGATCAAAAAGGTTCCTCCTTGGTCAAAAAGGTCCCTCCTTGGTCAAAGTGGTTCCTCCTTGGTCAAAGTGGTCCATCCTTGGTCAAAGTGGGCCCTCCTTGGTCAAAGTGGTCCCTCCTTGTTCAAAAAGATCCTTCCTTGGTCAAAAAGATCCCTCTGTGGTCAAAGTGGTCCCTCCTTGGTCAAAGTGATCCTTGGTCAAAGTGGCCCATCCTTGGCCAATAAGTTCCATCCTTGGTCAAAGCGGTTCCTAGGCAAAGTGGTCCCTCCTTGGTCAAAGTGATCCCTGGCCAAAGTGGTCCCTCCTTGGGCAAGGTGGTCACTGGTCCCTGTTGAGAGTATTTACACTGTAGAATTAATGGACCACTTTACCTGCTACTTTACTCAATGCTATGGAATTCTAGGTGTTGTAGCTTGGTGATGCATCCTTCCACTTGGGAAGGCAAGGCAGAAGACCTTGAGGAAACTAGCGCTCTCAGGAGCACTGAGCCATGGCAATTCAAGTGGTATCAAACTGCATTGATTTTACAGTGCAGATCCATTTATAAAAACCCACTTTCTTCAACACCAGTTTGTAACTGCATTAAAAGGTCCGTGTATAGCAGGCATGAGCAAACCTGGGCCCTCCAGATGTTTTGGACTCCAACTCCCAGGAAGGAAGGAAGGAGCTTGAGGCTGTTAGGAATGGTGGGAGTTGGAGTCCAAAACATCTGGAGGGAGGTCCAAGTTTGCCCATGCCTGGTGTAGAGGGAAGCCTGCATGAATCCAAGTCATCTGCAAGAATGGAGTTGGAAAGTTTGTCGGATTGGGATGCGTCTTGGAGGGGAGAATGCCACGCGGCCCCACAAACGTGGCACCCGAAGAGAAGAAGGGCTCCCCTCCCAGGCTGGGCACGGGCCTCCCCTTGCCAATCTCCCCCTCGCCAGTCTCCCTCCCTCTGTCCCCGGCTGGCTCACCCGAGGGGAGATTCCCGTCCCTTTCCTCTGCTCCTCGGCTGCAGTGTCTTCGCTGCTCAGCGCCCTCTGCTCGTTGGCCAACCTCTGCGAGCGAAGCCCGCCCGGAATCCCATGGCTTTAAGAGCTTGTCTTTGGCAGGAGCGCCTCAAACCGCCGGCGATGGGGCCGATCCCGCCCGAGAGGCTCCCTTCCCTCTCGGCTTGGGCTCTCCAACTGGAAGAGACAGTGTTAGGTTTCTTTCTGCCACGTTAACTCTTTCCTGGGGGCGGGGGGGGGGGGAGCCGATAAAGAGATTCCCATTGTCTAAGCAGCAAGGAGGAAAGTCATCTTCTGGGTCTCTTGAGAATCCACCAACTTGCAGAACTAGTGTGTGCCTTGTTCTGATTTGTTGAAACTTTGTTGTTGTTCATTCGTTCAGTCGTCTCCGACTCTTCGTGACCTCATGGACCAGCCCACGCCAGAGCTCCCTGTCGGCCGTTACCACCCCCAGCTCCTTCAAGGTCAGTCCAGTCACTTCAAGGATGCCATCCATCCATCTTGCCCTTCGTCGGCCCCTCTTCCTTTTGCCTTCCACTTTCCCCAGCATAATTGTCTTCTCTAGGCTTTCCTGTCTCCTCATGAAGAGGAGAAACTTTAGGAAAGGGGAAAGGCACCTCATAGTTTTTTCCTAGGTACAGCTTTTGTTCTTCCATCCATTTAGTTTCTTATTCATTATCAGGTGCTGTGGGAATGAAAATTACAAAATTTGGAAAAAAAATATGTTCCTGGGTTGAAAGTGTTATTTCCTGTTTAATTGTGAGGTATTTACTTTGAAAGTAGTTGTCATTCTCCAGAAAATTCGTTTTTGTGTCTGCCACAAACTAAGGTGAATTGTGTTATAAAAAGCTTTCATGGCCATAATCACTGGGTTGCTGTATGGCCATGTTCCAGAAGCATTCTCTCCTGACATTTCACCTATGGCAAGCATCCTCAGGGGTTGTGAGGTCTGTTGGAAACTAGGCCTTCCTTCTCTGCTTTTTTCTTCATTCCCTCTTTCCTTCCCTCCTTCCTTCTTTCCTTCTTTCCCTCTTTCCATCTTTCCCTCCCTCCATCTCTCCTTCCTTCCTTCCTTCCTTCCTTCCTTCCTTCCTTCCTTCCTTCCTTCCTTCCTTCCTTCCTTCCCCTTTTTCTCCTTCATTCCTTCCCTCTAGACATAGGCCAGAAAAAAGTTGGGCTCCAAGGCAGTGCTTGAGAGAGGGGTGTTCCTGCTCTCTGCAGAGCAAGGGCTCCACGGTTAGTAAACCGGGCATCTGCATCTGTATTGTCATTTAGCTTTTGGGGGTTTTAAGTCTGTTCTGCTGCTTTTTAGGGGAGATTTATGAGTGATGGTCACTCATTGGTCTGTTAAGGATGTCGTGTCCAAATTTGGTGTCAATTCATCCAGTGGTTTTTGAGTTATGTTAATCCCACTAACTAACATTACATTTTTATTTATATAGACTAGCTATCCCCTGCTATGCATTGCTGTGGCCCAGTCTGTATCTATGTGTTTTTTGTGTTTGTATATGTATATATGTGTGCATATGTGTATATATGTGGTTTTGTGCATGCGTTGTAATGTATTTTTATTTTTTGGTTTTTAAGTCTCTTCTGCTGTGTTTTTCAGTGTTTTTATGAGTGATGGTCACTCATTGACCTGATATGAGTATTGTGTCCAAATTTGGTGTCAATTCTCCCAGTGGTATTTGAGTTATGTTAACCCCACAAACAAACATTACATTTTTATGTATATAGATTTATTCAAATTGCTGAGAGACCATATCCAATGATACCTGGAGGGTCAGAGATTATCTAATTTGATTTTATATACTTTATTTATATTCCGCTCTATGTGTTCTGTAATCCACTCAGAGTGGATTACAGAACACATACATGGCAAACATTCAATGCCATTATACAATTAACAAAGACAGACAGTACACAGACAGAGGCAAGGCTTCCCTCTTTTTCATTTCCGGCTTCTGGAGGTTGTGCTCGACTCAGCCATGAGGAGGTGCTGTTGTTCCATGTTTTCATGCCAAGAAGCCTGTTGTCCATGGAAGCCTTCCTGATCAAATTGCCAGCATAACTTCTTCAGGGGCGCCTTTAACCTCCCTACCAAAGCAGTACCTATTGATCTACTCACAGCACTGTTTTTGAACTGATAGTTAAGCAAAAGCTAGTGCTGATGGCAGGAGTTCCTCCCAACCCATGGCTTGAAATGCCAACCTTCCAATCTGCAAGATTTTCTGTAGCTGGTGGTTTAATACGCTCTGCTAGCCATGCCCCCCCCCCCCCCCGTGGTTTTAGGCTTATAAATTAACCCAAAATGTATTTACATTGGCTTCACGGTACTATTGACTATTGACTAGTCAATAGGATAGGGAATGCCCAGCCAATATCATGAGCCCCCGGTGGCACAGTGGGTTAAACCCCTGTGCCAGCAGGACTGAAGACCGACAGGTCACAGGTTCGAATCCGGGGAGAGGCGGATGAGCTCCCTCTATCAGCTCCAGCTCCTCATGCGGGAACATGAGAGAAGCCTCCCACAAGGATGATAAAAACATCAAATCATCCAGGCATCCCCTGGGCAACGTCCTTGCAGACGGCTAATTCTTTCACACCAGAAGCGACTTGCAGTTTCTCAAGTTGCTCCTGACACGACAAAAAAAAGAGAAGAAGCCAATATCATTCCTTTTCCCATTCATTATCATCATACATTTGGTGGTCTGCTACCAGAAGTGCTGGAGCAGGGGAGGATCCAGAAAAAAGACATGGTAGGGAACATTGGGAAGCTGCTGGAAGGCTTTGTGTAGCACATGTGGATTGTGGGCTGCATGTCACATCCCTGACTTAGAGCCCCAGCAATTCTGAGTTCAGTCTTGGCTAACTGTTACATTGCCTCTGCTTTATATGTATACACATTATCTATGGAAAAATATTGTTTCTAATTATTGTTCCACCATCTAGTTCTGACAGCTAACAAAGAGAGGGGAAAATCCTGGCTGGTCGACAACCCTAACTGGAGACGTTCTCAGTTTCTCCTCTCAACCCCTCTGAACAGCCTTGATGGGGCCATTTCTGGCAGAGGTTCAGAGGGAATGCAGGGCTAAGGAAAATCCATTTTGCTTCCCATCCAGAGGAGAATAGCAGCATCAGCAACTTTACTGTATTTCTTGTGTTATTTGAGGAAAAGCTGGAGAATGCCTAACACAAGGCTGCGGAGCAGGACAAATTGTTTCCATTTGTTTAGATTAAGGATTCAAATCGGCTGCAGCCAAAGTTCTGGTTTGTGTCCCACAGCTTGGCAAAAAAGCAGAGCGGAGAGAAACAAATGGAACAACTTTGGGAAGTTGTGCCAAAAAAATGTAGAGGGGAGGAGAGGACGGAAGGTGCTGGGCTGATGTTGTTGATTTTTCATGCTTTCCTGAAAGCCAACAGTGAATGAAGTGAATTTTCTTTCCATCCTTGAAGGAAGAGGGATTCTCTCTCCCCTAAGCCAACTGTGGCTGAGATGTAAAGCTTGAGAATAAACCAAGAAGTCCAGAATAGTAATTCTAGCTCTGCTACTGGTCTTTCTGTGAATTTAGCTCAGTTATTTAATCTCTGTGACATTGTAATTGCTCCTTAAGGAATTCCTCAACGTGTCTTCGGGGTTGTCTTTTTCATTTTAACTGTAATTCTTATTTCCTGCTCTTTGCAGATGAACAATGCACACACACACAGACACACACTCCACACAAAGTCATTATTCCTCCCAGAAAATGAAATGTTGCATTACAGTACAATTTGTATCTGTGGGTAATAACTTCATGTAAATATTTGAACCACTGATAATAGAAAACCTTATTATTTCCAATGGGATGAATGATGGAGGTACTGAGAAAAGAGTGTAGCTACAGGAGGCCCTAAGCAAATAAATGAAGCTCTGGATAAGTGAGGCCCTATCGACTTTGCCATATAATATCCAGATTATTTTATTTGAACTGGATTATATGGCAGAGTAATCTCATGGCCCTTCCACACAGCCATATAACCCAGAATATCAAGACAGATAATCCGTAATATCTACTTTGAACTGGATTAGCTCAGTCCATGCTGTCATATAATCCAGTTCAAAGCAGATAATGTGGATTATCTGATTTGATAATCTGGATTATATGGCAGTGCAGAAGGGGCCAGAGATTGTGTATATTAATCATGTGAAAAGATGAAGGGAGATATGTGTTATTTTGTTTGAAATTCTGGTCATTGGTCTCATTTATATTTATGGGGACTGGAGCAGGAAGAATAGTGAGGACATAAGAGTGAGATGTCACAGTGGTCTATATAGCATTCATGATACTCACTGCCCTATATCCCATATTATCTGTTATCCCAAATTATATGGCATTGGAGGCTCATATAATCCGGTTCACAGCAGATAATCTGGGATCAAATCCTGGCATATAGGGCAGTATATATCCAGCCTGAGGCACCTTCTATACTGCCATATAATCCAGATTATCAAAGCAGATATTCCACATTATCTGCTTTGAATTGGATTATATGAGTCTACACTCCTATATGTGAGTAGATCAATTGGTACTGCTCTGGCGGGAAGGTAACGGTGCTCCATGCAGTCACATGACCTTGGAGGAGTCTACGGACAACGCTGGCTCTTTGGCTTAGAAATGGAGATGAGCACCACACCCCAGAGTCAGACATGACTGGACTTAGTGTCAGGGGACTACCTTTACCTTTACCTTTTACACTCCTATATAATCTGGTTCAAAGCAGATAATATGGATTTTATATGGAAGTGTTATAGGGACCTGAATTTATACTGTCAGATAATCTGGGATAAGCAGATAGTCTGGGACTGGATCCTGGGATATAGGGCAATGTAGATTCAGCCTCAGAGATCTAATAAACCCAGCAGAGAGGGTAATTGTAGCAAACAAAGCAAACAGCTATAAACAAGGACTAGGGTGCTTCCAGAGAGCAGCAAATTGCGGGTTTTAATCAGGGGCAAAAAAATCCTTCAGAAGAAGTTCACATACAGACCTGTTGGTCCTGGGATTTTCTGCCTCTGTCGTCCACACTTGCTGCTTCGTTGCAGGATTTAGAGGCTCCTAAGATGTGGGACTTTCACCAGAAATTTTGATGAGTTTTTTTTAAAAAAAAAATTAAGATGCAAACATGTGAAGATGTGAATCATG